CTCCTTGAACGGCTGCCCAGCCTGCCCTCTCTGGCCACCATCTGCGGGAACAAGCTCGTGGAGCCCGGCGAGCAGTGTGACTGTGGCTTCCCGGATGTGAGCGCCTCCCCCAAAGCCTGAGCCCTCACCTGGCTCGCTGCCCCTCTGTCCCGTCTCCACAGGGACAGCATTGTCAGCCTCCAGCAGCAGCCCGTGTGTGTCCTCAGAGGGCAGGGGTGGGCTCTCGCCCGGTCTGCTCTGACAGTGGTTCCGCCGCCCTCAGGACTGCAGCGACCCCTGCTGTGACCACTTCACCTGCCAGCTGAGGCCCGGGGCACAGTGCGCATCCGACGGGCTCTGCTGTCACAACTGCCGGGTAGGCGCAGATGGGACCCGCCCTCCACCCACAGCCCACCTGCCCCGGGGTCGGGATGGAAAGGGGGTCCCGGCTCCCGGGGACCTGGTGGGACCCACCGGCAGCCACACGCACACTCCCTCGCCCCTGCAGCTGCGCCCGGCTGGCTGGCAGTGCCGCCCTACCAGAGGGGACTGTGACTTACCGGAGTTCTGCGCGGGAGACAGTGCCCAGTGCCCTCCCGATGCCAGCCTGGGAGACGGCGAGCCATGTGCGGGGGGCGAGGCTGTGTGCGTGCAGGGCCGTTGTGCCTCCTATGCCCAGCAGTGCCAGGCTCTCTGGGGACCCAGAGCCCAGCCCGCCCCACTGCCTTGCCTCCTTGCTGCCAATACTCGGGGGGACGCCTTCGGGAGCTGTGGGCGCAGCGCTAATGGCAGCTACGTGTCCTGCGCCCCAAAGTAAGTGAGGCCCCTGGGTTCCCCTCTGGGGGCAGGGGAGCCTTGACCTGACCCGGTACCCTCTGCCCTACCTCAGAGACGCCGTCTGTGGGCAGCTCCAGTGCCAGGGGGGGCGGGCCCGGCCTCTGCTGGGCACCGCTCGGGATCTGCGCTGGGAGGTGCTGGAAGCCAGCGGGACCCAGCCGAGAGTGAACTGCTGCTGGGTCCACCTGGACCTGGGTGACGACGTGGCCCAGCCCCTTCTGAGTCTGCCCGGCACCGCCTGTGGGCCTGGCCTGGTGAGCGGTCCCGGTGGGCGTGACCAGCGGGGAGGGCCGTCTACACGAGCCGTGCCCAGGCCCCGGGGCCCACCGGTGTGCGAGGCTCGGGCTCTCGGGGGTCGGCCGCGCGCTGCTGACCGGGTGGCGGCCTGTCCTGCCCAAGCCGCGGTGTCTCAGTCTGTAAGAGTAGTTGTGGCCTCCCAGGGCTGGCAGCGCTCTGTGAGGCTCTGACCTTGGCTTTCCCCCTGCACCCCTGGGCAGGTGTGCATGGACAGCCGATGCCAACCCGTGGATGTCCTGCGAGCCCAGGAATGTCGAGGCAAATGCCACGGACACGGGGTGAGCGGGCACGGCGGGCACGGAAGGGGGCAGACGGTGCCAGGCTTGGCACACACACCCCTAATCCGTCCTGCTTCCTCCCAGCTGTGCAACCTGAGGCCCGTTATTAACCCCTCTGAGCTCAGTTCCCTCGGCCACCCAGTGGGGCGTCCTGGGGTCCGGTAGATGAGTGTGAGAGGGTCTAGCCCAGTGCCTGGTGAAGGCGCTGGCGGCTGGGTACGAGGTCATGTCCTCGGGCAAGGCCACAGGCTCCCTGTCTCCGCCCCGTCAGCCGGCATACCTTCCAACCTTGGACAGAGAAGAGATCCTGAAAGGCTAAGGACAGGGAAACACGGCCCCAGCAAGTAGGGTCCCTCATTGCTCAACCTCTAACCCCCAGGTCTGTGACAGCAGAGGACATTGCCACTGTGAGGAGGGCTGGGCTCCCCCTGACTGCGCCAACCACATCAGAGGTAGCGGGGGGCAGCAGACCGGGGCCACGCAGTGGGCAGCGTGGCTTACCCTTCTCTGACCCCTTCCGGTCCTCTGAGCGCCCTACCTTCGTCCCCCCCCCACCCCTTCCTGCGTGGGGGGGTTCTTCACCTGGCCCGCACTCACACCTGCCCTCGCCCCGCAGCAACCAGCTCCCTGACCGTGGGGCTGCCTCTCAGCCTCCTGCTGCTTGCGGTCCTGACGCTGCTGGGGGCCGGCTACTGGCACCGCGCCCGCCTGCGACAGCGGCTGTGTCAGCTCAAAGGGCCCAGCTGCCAGTACAGGTACCGGCCTCCTTGACCCCAGGCCCTCCGCAGCGCCTGGTGCCGGGCCTTGACCCCTGGCATGCACACCTCGCTCCCCTCTGTGGGCCCCGTTACACCTCACCTCGCACCCAGACCCGCGGAGAGCAGCGGGAGGCCGGGTCCACGTCTGCCCAGCAGCCCTGTGTCGAGTAGATGGGGCGCTCCCCCAGGCTCATGAGCTGCCCCCCAACTTCTGATTGGGCCTCAGCTACCCTCAAGCTGCTCTGCCCGGGCCTGCCAAGGGTCAGCCCCACTCAAGGGCCATGTGGGGAGGGAGAGCGTGGTCTGAGTCTGGGCCCTCTCCCTCCTTGCCTTTCTCCATGCTCAGGGCAGCCCAGTCTGGTCCCCCCGAATGCCCAGGGCCCCCGCAGAGGGTCCTGCTGATGCCAGGGGCCAAGGTAAGTATGGACGCCAGAGGAGAGCAGCCCCACCTCCCCAGGCACCCACCGTGGGCCCTGGGGTGGGGGTATGGAAGGCCCTAGACTCAGAGAAAGGCTCCCCTTGCCCGAGAGTCAGTCCACGGAGCCGGCCCTCCCCTGCACTCCCCAGGCTGCAGGCCCAGCAGCGTTCGGCCTGCCGTGGGGAGGAACAGTCACCTAGAGAAGGGGCTACTGAGCTTTTTGAGCTGTGGCCACGCTGGTGGCCATGAGAGGTGGGTTCCTGGCGCTCCCAGCAGGAGACCCTGGAGGACAACCGGGGTGGTGCCCAGAAATGGCCTCCAAGGGGCCACGACCTGATGAGGCCTCGGTCAGCACGTGTGGCAGGGCCGGCGAGTACCCCATGAGCCCCTGGAGCTGATGACAGGGGTGCAAGTGCAGGTGGCCCGCATGCTCCCTCCACCACTAGTCACCCCTTCTCTGTGCATGCAACTGAGTAACCGCTCACACGCACACCCCCGCCCCCCCACCCCCAGCCGGCTGCCCCTCCCGGCACTAACTGCTCTCTGCCCGCACCTGTCTCTGTGCTCCCCCCGCCCCCCACCCCGTCCCGCCTGTCTGCTCCTCCCGCTCTCTCCGCAGCCTAGTGCTCTTGGCTTCCCGGCACCCCCTTCCAGGCCGCTGCCTCCTGACCCTGTGCCCAAGAGACTCCAGGTAAATCCAGGCCAGGCCCCGCCCTGGCCCAGTGGAGGTGGGAGGCTTGGTGCCCCGCTGCAGTTCTCACCCCTGTTCCCTGCCAGTGGCGCTCTTCCGTCGGGGCCGGGGCGCCCCTCCGCCTTCTGACACTCTGAGCCCCGCCCTGCGGCAGCAAAGGGTGAGCCTCCTGCCTTGGTTTCTACCACCACCTGGTGGTCAGTGGCAGGACTGCAGCCGGCCAGGGACGCCACTGTGACCCCCGCCTTCCTGCGCTGGGGCTTCTGCGGGCAGTCTCCCGAGCCCTTTGCGCATGTCCCCATCTTCGCCTGCCCCCTTGCTGACTTTGCATGTTGAACTAAACCCCCCGGAGAAAACCAGTGCACGCCCCTGTGCCCCCGGCTGTGCTCCCACAGCGCTGCCCCTCTCTCTGTCCAGGCTGAGCTGGCTGACCGGCCCAATCCCCCTACCCGCCCTCTGCCCGCTGACCCGGCGGTGAGGCGCCCGAAGGTAACAGTGTGGGGCGAGAAGGGCGCAGCCTCTCCCCCACTCAGGGCTGTGCTGCTAATAGTGAGATGGTGAGATGCCCCCTCTGAGCCTGAGGGCCCCTACCCTGGTGTCCGTTAAAGGTGACAGGTTGGTTCGGAACAAAGGTGACCTCTGGGGCCAGCCCCACAGACTGGTGCTCCCCAGCAACAGGGGTGGGCAACATGACACCCCCTCCCAAGCCAGATCGCGTGTTCTCTCTCATTCTCAGGGGCCTGCCAAGCCCCCACCCCCGAGGAAGCCACTGCCTGCCAACCCCCAGGGCCGGCGCCCTTCCGGTGACCTGTCCGGCCCAGGAGCTGGAGTCCCGCCCCTAGTGCTACCGTCCAGGTAGGCGAGGAGGGGTGCGGGGGACGCCTGCTCAGCGCCGGTGGTCTGGGGAAAGGGGACCTCTGAACTTTTTCCTCGATTTCCCGCACCCCAGGCCGGCGCCGCCGCCCCCAGCAGCGTCCTCGCTCTACCTCTGACCTCTGCTGAGGTTGCCCGCCACCCGGACTTAGGACTTCGAGAGGCGAACTGGCCGCTGGAGTCCCCCGCGATGACGGAAGGAGCCAGAGGCTGGACACGGCGGAGCAGGCACCTGAAGACCCCGGGCACCCCCACGCGCCGCGGGGCAGTTCGCTCGGGACCCGCGCGCGCAGCTGGAGCTGGGGGCGGGGGAAGCGGGCGCCGGACGGAGCCGACGGAGGTGCGCACAGCCTGTCCCTGTTCGGGTGCAATAAACGCGACGTCTGGGGAGCGCGCTTGGACTTTGTCCGCTCCGGGCGGGCCGCGTCGCCCCGCTGCGGTTCCAGGTGTGGCCGCCAGGAGGCGCTGCCGCCTCGGACGAGGGTCCCAGGCCGCGTCCGCGCGTGTGTCCGCGGGATGCTCGCGGCCGGTTTCTGCCCCGTCCGGGACGACTGCGCGACCCAGTACCCCAGGGCGCTGTAAAGCCCCGGGCCACCCCCCGGTCGCCAAGTCCTCGCCCCCGTGTGCGCGGCCCCCAGAGGAGGCCCCCCGCAGCCGGCCCAGCTGCCGGACGCGCCGTCCCCACCCTCCGGCCGGTGGCTGGGAAAGTGGATCGGGCTGCTGTTCTCGGAGCCCCGGAGCCGGGGCGGAGCGGGGCGGCGGCTCCCACGATCCCAAGGCCGTGCACCTGCCTCCTCCTCCTCCTCCTCCCCTGCCCCACCTGAGGGCTTGGGAACAAAGGCGCTTTGTACCGGCCGCAACCACCTCATCACTTGGACTTGGGGAATGGGGCCGCGTGGGCTTCCAGCCGGGAGAGAAGGTGCGGGGCGGAAAGGGGCAGGCGCCGGCCCCCAGGTGGGCACGAGCTCACCACTGAGGCTCAGTAAGGGGTGGGGGGATCCCAGGAGGCGATCTGTCCCTTCCACTCGCGCTATCCCTGGGTGGGCAAAAGGGGCGATAAGCTACGGTGGCGCGGGACGGGCTCCGCGGACCCCCGCCGCGCCGCACCTCTTCCTCTTTCTGGCCGAAGGCCGTGAGCCCCGGTTTCAATCTTCCAGTCTAAAGCAATAAGGCTTCCTACCTGCCCGGTACTAGCGCAGACGCGAAAGACGCGACCTCCCCCGAGACGGACTCCCAGATAGTGGACTGCGCCGCCCGTGCCGCCCCCTCGCGACGCCGTGCAGCCCCGGGGGTAGCGTGGCGAGCCTGACGTGCGCCTCGGCGCACAGCGGGTTAACAGGAGTCGGCTCTGAGTGGGGAGGCGGGGGCGCGCCCCCATTGGTGGAAAGTTACCGGGGGCGTGGCCTGCGAGTCTCGGCGCCCCACCCCCAGTTCCGCACCCCCCCCACCCCCCCACCTCCACTTTGTACCTTTCTCGCCGCGGCAGCGAAGCGGGCCGGGACCGGCCGGACCAGACCAGAGCGGACCCCGGGGGCGATGCGGCTGCTGCCCCTGCTGCGGACTGTCCTCTGGGCCGCGCTCCTCAGCTCCCCGCTGCGAGGGGGCTCCGGCCTCCGCCACGCCGTCTACTGGAACTCCAGTAACCCCAGGTAGTCGGGCCGAACCCGGCGACTGCGGCCCGGGCCTGCGCGCTCCCGCGCCGGGCGCGCGCCCCACTCTCGCTCTCTGCGCGGCGCCGCCTGCGCCCGGCCGCGCGCCGGGGCTCCTTTGTTTGAGCCGGCGGGGGAGGGGGAGGGGAGGGGCGAGGCGCGCCCGGGGCTCCCCCCGCCCGCATGTGTTGGGGGACGGGCGGAAGACCCCAGCTCCGGAGGCAGGCGGTGGGATCTCGGAGCCGGGTGCAGGGGGGCCCCCAGGCCGGCGCTCCGAGCCCCGCCCCCTCGCTTCTCCCTTTCTGGCGGCTGTGCCCCCCCACCTCTGGCCCGAGCTGGGGCGGGCGTTCTGGAGAGCGAGGGAGGGGGCTTCGCTCCGGCGAAAGAGCGAGGTTTGCTCTCCTGCTCCCTTGGCCTCCTGCGCTCATTTACTATCTCTGCGTTCATCTCCGTCATTCTGGGCCCTTCTATTTCTGTCCAGTCTCAGCCCTGCCCTTCCAGCGGAATCACCTTCGGGCAAGTCGTTTGACTCCCTAACCTCAGTTATCTCATCTGTAAAATGGGCTAATAACACTTGGCACCCTGGGAAATCAGGCGGGCTAACCGAGGTCACGTGTGCGAAAGGAGTGCAGGCTGTGCAGATACAAATTATTATTTCTTTCTCCCCAGCCTTTGAACCTCAGTATTTTTTGACTGTTTTCATTTTCCTCCCCAGTTCTCCCTGTCTGCTTTCTCCATCTGTTTGCCTTTCTGATTTTCTACTTGAGACAATCTGTGACTCTGTTCATTTGTTCACTCCCCAACAGTTGTTACGCAGGACGTGTGCTAGGATTCTGGCTACAGACAGATAAGACCTCTGCTCCAGCCTCTGGGAGCCCAGAGACCCCCGGGGAGGGCGGGCATCAAGACAGGTCCTTGGGATGCCGGCACCACGTGATAAGAGCTATTGTCCTCCCAGTTCCGGAGCCCCCTCTCTGTTCCAGACCAGTGCCTCTGAATCACTCAGAGAACTTGTTAGAAATTCAGCTTCCTAGCCCCCAACCCTGAGGTTTCTGGCTCGGCCGTCCAGTCTGCAGGTATCTGTTGAGCCTGCAAGCAGGACACTTTCCCAGGCGTGGAAGATGCTGTGCAGCAAATCACAGTGAGGCCCAGCTTGGGTTCATTCGGTCTCAGCTGAGCCCAGGAATCAGCATTTCTGACCAGCCCCCAGACGCAGCTGGTCCTTAGACCACTCAATGAGGGATAGTTAGAGGCCTTTCATCCGATGTAGAGTGCTGTCCGGCCGCCTGCCCCCGGCCCTCTCTCCTGTCCCAGCCCCCACAGGCAGCTCCCAAGAGGTAGGGAAGGGAGTCCAGAGTGGGCCAAAGGTGAGCTGATATCTGGAGGGGCCTCCCCCCATCTACTCCCTACCCCTTCCTTCCTTCCTACCGTGGCCTTCTCCGTATCGCACTGAGATCCGGAAGGCAGTCTTCCTCTCTCGGCCTGTCTGACACGGATTCTGTTGCTGGCGGCCGTCTCTGCGGCCGAGACTGCGCTGCGGGCCCAGATATGTACCCTCACCTCTATGCCCCAGCGTCTTCCCAGCAGCCACACACCTGACATTCACCGAGTCCACGGGGCTGGGCCAGGCCCTGCGTCGGGCCGGGGCTGGAGCGAGGGCTGCAGCTCCAGCCTGCGCTTAGGCGCGGAGTGGCCGACGCAGACTTGAGCCGCGCGGTCGTGGGCCCTGGGGTCAGTTCAGCCCCCTTCCCTCTCCCACCCATTTCCTGACTCTGTCTCGCCTCTTCGGAGCTGTCAGGCCGAGAGACTCGGGCCTCGCCAAGCTGCTCCCTCCCCAGTGGCTGGGGAAGAGGCCAGCCCCGGCCCCTGGGACCCTCAGGGCCCTGGTGATCGGTACCACGTGCCTTCGGCCCACTCTGGCCTTCCGCCCGCAGGCTTCTTGGAGGAGACGCCGTGGTGGAGCTGGACCTCAACGATTACCTAGACATCTTCTGCCCGCACTACGAGGGGCCAGGGCCCCCTGACGGCCCCGAGACCTTCGCTTTATACATGGTGGACCGCCCAGGCTATGAGGCCTGCCAGGCCCAGGGCCCTGGCGCCTTCAAGCGCTGGGAGTGCGCCCTCCCCTTCGCTCCCTTTGGCCCCGTTCGGTTCTCTGAGAAGATTCAGCGCTTTACACCCTTCTCCCTTGGCTTCGAGTTCCTGCCCGGAGAAACCTACTATTACGTCTGTGAGTGAGGGGGGCTCCCCGGCTGTCTGGGGGGCGGCGGGGGAGGAGGGGGTGTCCTACCCCTGCCGCAGGTCCAGGCCAAGAGCCTGAAGTTGGGGGAAAGGAGGGGCCTGGGAGGGAAGGTGGGGGGACCCAAGTGTAATACTGAGTAGGGGGCCATCTGGGGGAGTGTGCAGAGAGGAGGAGATAGCAAGAGGAGCCAGGGGACATGATGTGGGGCACGGCCGAGGCCTGGCACCAGGGTGTGGCCCAAAAGGAAGGGGAGGCTTTCCAGGGAAGCAGAGAAGAGGAATTGGAGGGGTCCGGAGGGGTCTGCGGCGAGGGAACCAGCCGGTGCTGACTTCTTCCTCCCGACCCCCCACCACCCAGCGGTTCCGGCTCCAGACAGTTCTGGCAAGTGCTTGAGGCTCCAGGTGTCCGTCTGCTGCAGGGAGAGCAGTAAGTGGCTTGGGGTGCGGGGAGCAGCCCTTCGGGCGTGTGTGGGGCCCCTGGAGTGAGGGAGGCCGCGGGGAGAGACTGGGAGCATCAGACCCTGAGGGGTCCAAGAGGGGCCTTAAGCTATGGCCTCGGCTCCCCCTGTATCTGTTTGGGAGCTTCCACTCCAGCCCTGTATGCTGGGCCAAGGAAAGGGCATCTCCAGCGCAGTATCCTTCAAGGCTTCCGCCGAACCGGTCCGGGCGTGAAGAGTCCAGGGCAGGGCCCGAAGGGGCTGCTGAGGCGGGGGTCCCTCAGCGCTGCCCCTCCCTCACAGAGTCGGAGTCCGCCCACCCTGTCGGAAGCCCTGGAGAGAGCGGCACCTCAGGGTGGCAAGGAGGAGGCGCTCTCAGCCCCCTCTGTCTCTTGCTGCTGTTGCTGCTTCCGATTCTGCGTCTCCTGCGAGTTCTCTGAGCCAAGCAGACCCCTCCTGCTACACCCCTGCCGCTGGAGCATCACACCAGCCAGACCAATGGAAGAGTGATAGGGAGGTCGGAGGGTCTGTGGTGACCCTTCCAGGGGCTGGCCCCTTCCCAGAGGCTGAAGAGTTGCCGCAGGGGTGCTGCACACGGCCCCAGGTGCCCTGGAGCCCAGGCAGGACAAATGCGGGGTCTCTGTCAGCTGCTTTGACATTCTCATCCTGTCCCCCCAGAAAGACTGGGATTTGGTGGGGCTGAATCCTTGAGTCTTTTGGGGCCAAGACCGAAGACCTGGGGACAGGTGGATTGCCAGACCAGGGCAAGGAGGAGGTCCTGGCCATCCCGCCTGTCGTCTGTGCCCAGCACCCTGGGGGCCTCTTCCCTGGGGCAGCGTTCTCCCCTCCCCAGGTGGTCACTCACTTGTCTTCTATGAAGACGGACTTGCTATGAGGTTGAATATCATGCCAGTTTGTATTTTTATAAGTGTCTGGACCGAACCCTCAATAAACCACCCGACTTTCGGTTGCTGTCACCCCCCCCCACCCTCGGGCTCCTTCCTTGACACAAGGACTCCCTGCGGCCTCTGCTCTGGCTTCACTTGGCCGGCCTTCCGTGCCAGCTGCACGCAGGCCGTGGTCCACTCCAGGCCGCCGGGGGCGACCCTCTGGGCACTGTGACGTAGGTGCCAGTGGCAGCTGTGGCGCTTGGACCCTCTCCCACCTCCCTAGCCGGCTTCCTCTGCCGCCAGGGGGGCACAGGCTCCTGACAGCCCACCCACTTGGGGCACGGCCCAAGCCCCGTAGCACCAAGCAGGGCGCTGGGGCAAACGCTGGGGCTTCTAGAGAGAGGGCACGCGAGTTTCAGAATGCCCGGGTCCCTGAGCTGGGCATCCCTCTCCCTCCCCAAGGGCAGTCTGGGCCACGCCTGGCCTAGAACTGGGAAGGTGGGGTCAGATCAAAGCCTCCTTCCCCAGCGGCTTCTTTGTTCTCCGCTTTTATAAAGAGGAGGGGGGTGGGGCCGAGAAGGGAGGGCCCCCTCCGCTCTCAGCCCCACACTCTCTCCCACCTCTGGCAGGCGAGCCTCTGATCCCCCCCACCCCAAGCCCAACCAGGGCCCTCTTTCCGAACGGTGTCCTGGGTGGAGCCAGGGCGAGGGGGTGCCCCTTCCCCCGCAGCTGGGCTCCGCCCGCCCCAGTGCCCCGCACCCTCCCTTGGCTCCGAGCCGGCCCGCCTGGCACCGGGCCAGCGATCGATAGGTGGATGTTGTGATTAGCTCGGCCAGGCTGCGGCAGCGAGAGGCGGCGTGTGAACACGCGGGGGGCGGGCCGGGCGGGGGGCGCCGGGGGGGGCGGGGGCGGGAGACTGACAGACGCCGGAACTCCGGGCGTCGCGGGCCCCTCCCCCAGCCCTTCACACCCCGCTCCGACCCTGCTCGCGGGAGGGCTGGAGGGCGGCGCCGCGGGCGGGGCAGACGCCGGTCGCCCCCTCCCCCCATTCGAGGCAGCGTCCCGGGAACGCCACGTCTGGAGGGGCACGTGCCTGCGGCTGGGCTCGTCCGCGCCCTCGGCGTCGCCCAGACCCCCCACCGCCGCTGCTTAGCGCACGGGCGGGGGCGTCCGTGCTGGAGGAGGAGCTCCGGCCCGGCTTCAGGACCTGGGTTCGAGTCGCGTCTCTCCTGACATCCAGGAGGGGGCTCGGTCTGTCGCCGTGGAAACGGGGCCCCGCAGGCTTCTGCACCGTTCCCCTCCCCCAGCCGTCGGCGGGGCGCGCGGGGGCGACGGGCGACTAGCCCCTGCCCTCCACTGACGACGGTGCAGGTGTCACCCCGCGGCCAGCGGCCCCACACCCCCCTCGGCCCCCCAGCCGGTCGTCGCTGCCCAGTGTGCGGAGCAGGCGGGGACGGGCACTCGGAGGGGGCCCTCGCCGGCCGCCCGCTCCCGGCAGGTGTCTGCGCGGACGCCTGGGCGGCTGGACTTTGACGACCCGCCCGCCCGCCCTTTTCTCATGCCGGGCCCTGCGCGTTCAGCCCGGCCAATCCCGGGGCGCGCCCTGTAGAGGGCCAGGTCTGCTCCCCGGGACCGAGGCAGGCTGAAGGTGCCGGGCGGCCTTCCGCGACTGGGCCCGACCCATGAGAAGGCCTCCAGGCGCGTTCCGGGGCGCGGTTCCAGGAGGCTGGGCAGGTCTATGAGTTTTGGGGCGGCACCGATCTCCCCTAAACTCGGCGCTAGACGGCCCAGGGTGGGGCTCTCAATTCGCTGGGCCCGCCCTAGTCTCTCCCCAGCAGATGCGAAAACTGGTCATCTTTGTCGCACTCTGTCTCGTCGTCCCAAGAGCCTGACAGACTGTGCCGGTGACCCAGGTCCTGCCCCACACTTTGCACAGTTGCAAATCACCCTTTCCCTAGAAGCTAAACCCTGAAGCTTTGGTCTTTCTATGTGACCTCTCCCTCTTTTCTTCTCTTTCCTTCCTTTGCTTATTCATTCATTCATCAACTCGTGAGCTCCAGATCGGCCTGCTCTTAGCAGGCTACCGCAGCTGGGGTCGTTGGGGGATTCCCAGCAGTGACGCACTTGGACAGGGCCGCTCAGGCTTCCAAACAGCCAGTTGAGCCCCGGGCCTGGGGCATGAGGTCATAATTGGTGGTGCCCATTGGTTCAGGCCTGGAGGTGGGGAGGGGTCCCCATAGCAACGCAAAGGAAGGGTGCCACGGGAGTAACCTGGAGAGGAGAGTGGTCCTGCTTGAAGCTCCAGTGGCAGCTGGGGGAGGTGGGCGCAGGTTGGGTTGGGGGTGGGGAAGCTGGGGTGGAGCTCAGTATCCCAGGTCCCCGAAGCCCTAGCCCAACCAAGCTCTTGTCATTCTCGAGGTCCTTTTCTCACTCTGAGTAATGGTCAGTGCCACTTACCCCAGGAAGGCTAGGGGAGGAGTCCTGGCAACAGCCATGGGGTCCCGGGTGCCAAGCGGAATGCTAATTCTGACATCCTCCTGGTCTTCTGCATATCGTCTGCATCTCATTTGCATTCTCTTCATTTAAGGTCAAATTGAGCAGACATCTCCACATCCCCAGCCCTGTCGCTTGTCTGTATCCCGACTTTATCCTTTAGCAGCTCCGTAATTTATCTCTCCTTTCCCCATTCCTTACCCCACCCCTCTTCTAGCCCCCAGTGTCTCCTCCAGTGGGAGGGGGCGCAGCCTTGCTGAAGCAGAAAGGAGAGGTCTGCCTCTCCCTCTGGATGTTTGTTGACAGATGGGGAGGGCTGGCCTGTACTGTCTAGAGATGAAATTGGCAAAGCACATGGTGGGGGGCGGTGCCCCTGGCGGGGTTGAGGGTCTCCAGGGCCAAATCACCCACATGCCTAGCAGGGTGCTGGAACGGAGGGATGCCTGCCCACCTGTCTGGTGCCAGGCCAGCTTCCTTCCTCCAATTAAATACTAATGAGGTGTCATTAACCCTTAGCTTGCCTGCCAGCCCTCAGGGGAAGCTCAGATTCGTGGTCTCCCACCCAACCAAGAGGGAGGCCCTTTGAAGAAGCTGAGAGGTAGTGGGGCCCTAGGGGTGGGAGCAGCAGGCCCTGGTCGTCCTGTGTGCTTCAAGGGTCTCTAGACATGGGTGTCCCCCCCTGCCCCGTCTGAGAGCACCTCTTCCTCTGTGTATCAATCCAGCAATTATTTGAATCAGCTTACGTATTCCTACTAACTCACACCAGGCTGCGTACAGGGTAAGCACTTGCATCAGACAAGATCCTTTCCCCTAAGGAATCTATAGATTACTCGGGAAGGCAGAGTGGCCAGCAAATGATTATAATGCCAAGTGCAAAGGCTACTCTAGAGCTACGTAGAAAGTTCTGTGGGGGCACACGCTGTCGGAGGAGACTTGTGCTTGAAGGACAAAGTTGAGGGCAGGGAGGGGGTGCGCGGACTGGGTAGTGCCTGTGCGTGTGGCTCAGTGTGGGCCTGTGGTCGGGCTGTGTTTGCGCCCCCGTCTGTATGTATGTGTGAGTGTGTATGGGTGCTGTCTGGATCTCGCTTTGTCTGGAGTCCCTTCTCCTGAACACACACTGTGGTTTTATTACAGATCAATGTTTGCCGTGAGGCTCTGTGCAGATTAGCCTGGACCTGCCCAGCCCAGGGGAGGGGAGGAGAGAGAACGGCTCTCTGGGAAGGGGTGGGCAGGCACCGGCTCCACTTGGGGGCCCAGACTCTTGGCTCCCCAGTTGGCAGCGGCTGGCCAAGGGAGGCAAAGAGCTGGGCCCCCGGCTGTGGCAGGGTGTGCCCAAGCCATAGTCCCCTCTGGCCCTGGCTCCCCGGAGGAGACAATAAGGGGGTTTAGAGTCACCACTCCCCCCCCCCCAACTGGCCCCTTCCCCCAACCTGTTCTGTCTGCGGAGGAGCAGGCCAGCTCAGACCTGTCTGCTGGCTCTCTCCTGCAGGGAGCAGATCCCTTCCAGAGGACTCCGGAGGGCTGGGGAATGCCGGAGCCTACGAGGGAGGAGACCCACCCCGTATTCCACACTGGCCTTTGGAGGCTCCCTCCAGGGGAGGGTTCCCCCCACCCACTCTAGGGAGCCACTTCTCTGGGTTTCGCCCAGACATAGCAATTGTGGCCAGGGAGCCTCTTAACCGTTAGGCAGAAAGTGGGGGCTAGAGTCCTGGCTATGAGGTGGGGCGGGGCAGGGGTAGCTACTCAGACCTCTGCCCGTCCCCTCTCCTTGAAGCCACTGGCTTGAAAGCTCAATCTTGGTGTCTTGGTGGCGGGAAAGGCAAGAGAGTCTGGATGCAGGCGAAGTATTAGGGGTTAGGAGACTGTGCAATCTGCGGTCAGAGACCCCGCCGTCCACACTGTCAAGGATGAGGACTTCCTGGTTGGGGCTGAAACTGCCCCTTCCCTGAGTCCATCTAACTGTTTCCTGCCCCATCCCACTCCCCAGACAGTGGCTCTGCTGCGGTGACAGCTGTATGGAGAAGCTTCGCGAGCAGGAGAAGGAATGGAAGAGCCAGTCCAGGGCTAGTCTCAGTGGGCAGACCTCAGGAGAGGACCCCTTCATAATAATGGTGTTGGGGACGCCCTGCTGGCTCTGCCAGGGGAGGTGGAGGTAGGGCCTGTGACTCTCATGGTTGTGAGTTCAAGCCCCATGCTGGGTTTGGAGATTACTCAAAAATAAAGTCTTTTGAAAAAATAAATAAATGGGGGGCGCCTGGGTGGCTCAGTTGTTAAGTGTCTGCCATCAGCTCAGGTCATGATCTCAGGGTCCTAGGATTTGAGCCCCGCATCGGGCTCCCTGCTCAGCGGGAGTCTGCGTCTCCCTCCCCCACTCCTCTTGTTTGTGTTCCCTCTCTCGCTGTCTCTGCCAAATAAACATAATCTTATAAATAAATAAATAAATAAATAAATAAATGGGGCGCCTAGGTGGCTCAGTGGGTTGGGCGTCTGTCTTCAGCAGGGGTCAGCAAGGGTCATGGTCCGGGGATCCTGAGATGGAGCCTCGCAGCATCCACTGGGCTCCCTGCTCAGCAGGGAGCCTGTTTCTCTCTCTC